AGTGCCCCCAAAGTATATATGCCACTGGCTCAATATTAGACTTCCTTGAAATCTCTCCTACCAGATTAGTTAGTTTGCTGCCCTTAATCTCAGTATTAGGCAAAATTACTGCACAAGAGCAAAATTCTGATAAATTTTTTGCTAAAACATAATGCATGTGATGTGGAACCTAACAGCCAATGAATTCCTTGTTTCTAACTGAAATCTCACGAGCCTGATCTTTACTGGATGTAGTTCTATCAGAATTCTGGTCTTCTGAACTCCAATCAGAATCTCCTATCAAGTTCATCTTATAGCATTCCAGGGCTGCTTCTTCATCTAGTATTTATAAATCTCCCCAAAATCTTTCCATAAGCCTGTTACAAAGGCTACTGAACCACATGGCCAGGTAATGTGACAGCAGTAGCCCCACTACCGGTACCAAAATTTGTCTTAGTTACTCTTCTCATTGCTCACACAAAATGCCTGATACCCACAAGTTAAAAGAGGAAAGATTCATTTTAGTTGACAGTTTGCAGAGATGTTAGTCCACAGTTACCATCTCATATCTGTCCTTACCTTTGGGTAGTATACTTACTATCCCTCCAATGTAGTGCCAGATCCTTGTCTACACAAACTCTTTCCTTCCACTGATGGCTTAGCACTGGACAATGGCAAGCACTGTCATTGTTATAGAGTGCTTTTCACATACTCCTAGTCAGCTTCAGCAGACAGTGCTAAGGAATCACATAGACTTCCTACCTTGACAATAGAGTTCAGAATAATTCCAAGCCTTCAATGCACCTTGAGTTGGTGATGTGATAAAAGCACAGGTTCTTGAATCAAATTTCTGGATTGGAGTCGAGTCTTTTTCACTTGGGCAAGTGTCTTTGACCAGTGTTTACCACAGTTTCCTGATGAGCAGAATGAGTACAATAACCAGCTGCTTTATACACTGCTAACCAGCTGCTTCATGATCGTGAAAATTAAATAAATTATACCGCTAAAAGTTTTAGGACAGTGTTTGGTATATTGACAAGCAGTTGGTGAATAATAGATGACCTTTATTATAAACATGGCTATTGTCAAGAGATAATCAAGAATCATGCAATGTAAAATACTATGAATTATTCCTTAGTGCATGAATATGACCTAGAGAACACCTTCAGTAGGCATGATTTCAATTTGACATATCAATCACTCAACTACGTGCCATGTTTACTAGTACTTGGATTAATTCCTTGGAAAAAATACACTATTGTATTACTTAATGTATAATTCTTAACTTTTTAAAGATAAATATTTGTATCATTCAGATAAATTTTGAGATTAGATGTGGTTCGACCTCTATGTAGAATACAGAAGAATCACATATCCCTCAATATTTTAAAAACATTACAATCTGTGGTCATGTAATTGAAGATACCATTTTTAATTACTTTAAAATTAAAGTATGGAAAGAGTAAATAAGAAAGTTTAAAGTTTCTAATCTCTCTTTATTTGGTTATTACCTCACAGTGTTTACCAACATTCTACCTCTCTTTTTATATAACCCCAAAAAAGTATTTATCAGTCATTAAACATTTATTGATGGATAAATTTCTAATGATGTTGTCTACAATTAAAATAAAATTTATGACCACATCAACATTTTTTTATTTTTGTACCTGGGATCGAACTCATGACCTTGCACTTGCCAGGCAGGTGCTTAAGACTCTGAGCTAAATCCCCAGGCCTACCTCAACATTTTAATTATGCATACTTTGACAGTCAAAAGGAAAGTTTCAACTGATTTCTCTTAATTTATTAAACGTTTTGGATAATATATAAGAAAGTACTTTGTAATCACTTACATGGTATTTAATTGAAAATCACAACTAAAATTGGTGTTATATTCTGCTACTCCTCTCATATAATCCGTGCTACAGCAGCTGGATTTCAGATCATTGTTAGACTATGCCACACCTTTTCAGATGGGTTTTTTCCTCAACATAATAATCCCCCCTGCCTTTATCCTGCCTCTAAGAGAAAGCACCAATGACACTGCTTTGTTTTATCCCCCTGAAAACAATTGCTTCCTCTTTTCAGTTCATTCAGTTCAGTAATTTAGCACTCAGTGAGTTCTTACTATGTTCTCAAATAAAGAAGAAATTATTATTTACTTTTCCTATGTCCTCACTTCAGCCACAAAATAGAATCTCCTGCTGATCTACCTTCTTGTAGATGCTTCCTTGTGGAAAGTACATTGATTTAACTGGCTGATAAGATAGGCACAGGCCTTTATTCTTCTAAAAAGCATTAACTTCAGGAAAAAGCCTTCGTGTTAAAGGAAGCGAGGTTGTCAACCTCATATCCTTGAGTAATCATTTAGCTGCAAACAAGACAACTTGAGGTAGACTGAAATCCCCCACTGGGCTAGTTGAGCATCTGTTTGGAGCCCTGATTGTAAATGTACATGCATCTCAAAGTCAAGTAAGATTTAGGTGACTGGATTGGTGGGAAAATCATTTTGCTTTGGGGAAGAAATCATGCAGGTAAAAGAGTTTTTATTATTAATATTAATAATTTCTTTAATCTGCCAATTTTTATTAGAATAAATTTATCTTTATTATTATCATCAGTATCATTATTATTTAGTTACTATATTTTTGTGATACATAATGAATACATTTATCACAAGGAGCTGGAGTATATATATATATATATATATATATTCCGAATCCTTTTTATTTCCCCATTCCCTCCTTATTTCTGAATTGGCTAAGAACCAATAGAGACAGAGAAATATGATTGTTTACAATTCCCTCAAAACCCCAATTTGTACTTCAAGAACAAATGTTCCTTTAAAGTGAGTAATAAGTCTCACATTCAAAGAACTTATGTTCTAGGTGTTTGCACAACATCTGGCATCCAGCTGTATAACATAATTCAATCACTAGCTTATAATTTGTTTGTTTCTACTTTTTTATCTATTCTGTAAGCAGTGTAAACCCATAGTTGAGTCTTTCCTGACCATATAGTCTCAGAATATAACAAACTAGTGATGCCATTGTGTGGTCACCAATTGTTTGCAGGTAAGGTAATGCCATGGAATGCTGACCCTGACTGATTTCAAAATAAGATTTGACTTTAAAAATGAACTACTTTGGGGGCTGGGGATTTAGCTCAGCCGTGTAAGCACCTGCCTTGCAAGCAGGCAGTCGTGAGTTCGATCCCCGGTACCGATAAAAAGATTAAAAAAAAAATAAAAGTAAAAAATCTACATTGTCTTGTTTTTAAACCTGTTTTTTTCTAGCATTGAACTTTCAGTTCTCATATTCTAAAATGTCTCACAAACTTCTATAAAGTAGTTATGTTTCCTTTTTCAGTTGCCAATTTTACTTTCCAGCTGGGTAGTGAGGCCCTTCCTGTTACTTGCATTAAAGACAATTTTTCAAATCAGTCTATTTTACAAGTCACACTTGGTGGGGGGAGATAAGTGCACTACTAACATGTTCCCCGAGGTTCCTGTACTTCTGCTTTGAGAGCCATCTTTTGAGCAGCAAGGGAGTAGGTGATTTATTTCATGAATATAATAATTCATGCATTCAACATTATTTAATTTTAATATGCCAAAACTAGACTATGAAACTGAAGAGAAATGTTACAGAATCTTTACCCATAGATATCACTCAGTCTAATGTGGAAACAGACACAACAACAGGTAAGTGCTATGATTATCATAAAATAAAATGCAGTATAGTTTGGTAGAAAATACTTGCAAAGGATACATCTGATGAAGAATTATAATCCAAACTATATAGAGAACTCTTAAAGTTCAACAACAAAATGAATACTGTTATTTTAAAAGGGCAAAAGATCTGAGTAGACATTTCACCAAAGAAGATGTAGCCATGGAAACCAAGCCTACTAAAAGATGATTAACATTACCTGTCATTAGGGAATTTCACACTAAAACAACAATGAAATAGAACTAAACACCTACTAGAATAGAAAACTTCCAACACACAGAAAACAGTAAATACTGATTAGGATGTGAAGTAACAAGGGCTTTGATTTATTGCTAGTGGGAATTTAAAATGGTACAACCACTGTGGAATATATTTTGAAAATTTCTCACAGAATCAAACATACTTTCACTGTACTGCCTGGCAATTATCTGCCTTACTATTTACCAAATGAGCTCAAAATTCATGTTCACACAGAGACTTACCTATGAATGTTTACAGTAACTTCCAAAGCACCAAAATATAGAAATAACCAGGATGTCTTTCAGTAGGTGAATGAGTAATAAATTGTAATACATCCAAATACTGAGATGTTATTGAACATAAAGAGGAAAGGCTGCAAGCCATAGAAAGACATGAAGAAATTTAACACACATTACTACGTGACAAAAGCCAAACTAACATTCCTACATAGGCTCTGGCTCCAATAATATCACATTCTGGAAAAGATCAAACAATAAGCAGATTACTGGTTCCCAGGAATTTGGAGGAAGGCAGAGATTAATAAGGAGCACACAGAAGGTTTTTCAAGCAGTAAAACCATTCTAGGTATCACTATAATGGTGGGTTCAGGTCATTCTATATGTCAAAACTCCAAAATGACAACACCAAATACAAATTCTAAAGCAAATTAATAGTTTTGGTTAATAGACATCCTAGTATCAGTTTTAACAAATGCACTGTAGTTCAGGATATCAATGATAACGGAAGCTGTGACTGTGTTGGGGAGGGGATATGGTAAATCCCTGTGCTTTCTGCTTCATACTTCTGAACCTAAAACTGCACTTTAGAAAGCTTCTCCTCTTTCTAAAAGTTCTTCAGGCTATTTTTATGTACCTTGAAATCTGAGAATTACTTTTGTGTTCACACATCTTTTTGATACAAAAGCAAATAACAAATTGATATAAAGTAAGTTTTAATAACTTTCTTTTCACACCGGAAATAATTAAGATGAAAATGTACGAAGAATCATTAAATTGTCTGCCGTCTATACATTAATCAATTAATCATGGAAACAATGCTGAATAGATTTATTTGGGGAAACAGCATCTGTATCTATGACATGATTAAGAAAAAATAAAACCATAAACCACATGATTTTTACAAGTTTTGTACAAACATAGTGAGTCACTTACAGAGGTGAAATCATTACCAATATTATCTTTTGCTGTAAAACATGTTAAGCATTTCCAAACACAGTAGACAGAAATACTCATCTTTTAAATTAGAAGTGATTATGAAAGAACTCACTTAGGTGTTATCCGATAAGAGGGTAGCTACGCATTTCCTCTCATGCTTCCTGTTTCTATTTTTAAAAACACAGTGAGCAGCTATTCTAATATCTCTTTTACATAACTTGCCCACAGATGAAGCTAGGTTACAGCAGCCTACCTAGAATCTGTTGCTTTAGAATTCTAGGTGTGATGATGCTGAATTGATAACACTGACTCAGAAACAGTATCTGCGGCCCCAAATCCAAGGAACTAAAACTTCACCTAAGCATTATTTAAGAAAGCTTCACACCAAACACTTAGTTTTGGCTTGTGTGTGTGTGCACGTGTGTGTGTTGTCTATGCACATTCTTACTCTCATTATTTCTCATTCTCTTCTATAATGACTCATTTATTCTACTACTTTACATTTCCTGAGCAAACTGAAAATTTGATCAGTTTCCCGTGTACCATTCCCTAAGTCATTTACCCCTTTTATACACTAACACATGTACACACTTGCACACTCACAGATCACATTCATCTGCTCAGCAGCTTCTGTATTTGTTCAAGTGACTCCTAACTTTTGTCATCTACTTTGTACGAGGACAACTGCATTACTAAGCAGCAGCTCCTGAGAATACTAGCCTCAAGTTTTTAAACCAAGTCGTATATTATATTCGAAATAATTAGACACAAGTATTCCAGAAATTCAGAAAATTCAAAACTATCTCCTAAGTGGCTGCCATGCCAGTATTTTAAAATGAATGATTATCAAACTGTAAGACTTCACTATACTTGATTTGCTCTGATTTCTTAGAAAAACAAGATGCTGCTGTCTTTTAAATTATGTGGACCCCTGCTGACCAACTAAATAGTCTGAAATCTTTTCCATTTCATTAATTGTCCTTTTAATTTGTTATCAGGTCAAACATGAGGCAATTTAAAAGTTGAATCTGTACGGGTCCAGTAATACTTTTCCTCCTTGGTTTGTATGCTGTATTCAGATGTCCACAAGGATATTCATCCAGCAGCATTATGTCACATTCATATACATTAGTCTGTGTCACTCAAATACTGAGCTACCCCTCTGCTCATAAATCTACTTTACATTCTTTGCTCCATTATTAACTATATTTGCTTTCCAACCTAACAGAACAGATATAAAAATTTGTTTGTCAGGCATGGGAAGCACATCTGCCCCACATCCAGTCAATGTGTTTCATATCTGTACTCTGATGTGTATATCTGTAACAGTTATTCTTTTCCTCTTCTTAGATAAGTGTATACTAATTTTTCTTTATATCTAAGAAATACTAGCCTGAGAATGACATAAGAAGTTTTCCCATTATGGAAGACAGACTGTAAACATACAATCATCACTGTACCTATAGTCAAATTAAGACATCCTTTATTTTTAAAGAGTGTGTAGTGAACTGATGAAGATAACACAAACCTCTTTTATTGGGTCTCTCTGGTAGCTCCAAATGAAATACTGAGTGGATATATTAGGTAAAATATAGCTAACATTAAATGCCCTACAACAAAATACTTTGTTGTCCAATGCTATAGTACAGAAGTTCCTAAAGAAGTTTTCAGGAAAATTTTAATTATACCTTCTTTGGACCCTTAAAATCTAAGCACCAACAAGAACCACTCTAAAGTGAGAATCCGCCAAGCTGAAGCATATTATTGGTTGTCCTGTTCAGGTGAGAGAATGGTGTTGACGCTCTGATCCTTCAGTGGTCCCCGCCTGGTATCAAGACCAAACTTAACTCCTCACACATATAGATGCATATTCTGTTGGTGCTTCTTTCACATTGCTTGCCTGTCTTGGGTTCATTCTGATAATGGAATGGTTCAGGGAAGCATAAACAATGACTTGTTTATTTTCCTCCAGGTGTGGATTAGAATAAACTTCAGATCCTTCCTGTGTCCTGAACCAGGGGTCACTGTCGTGCATTTCAGCTTCCAGTGGTGGTGTTTGGGAATTCTGCCTGGTGTTCACTTCCGTTGGCTCACACGTCAGGGGCTGGATAACATTACCCTGTAAAAGAAAAAAGATATGATAATATATATTCATTAGCAAACTGTGAAAGGCTAAATGGCGTCATATATTGAAAAAAATAACCTACCATTCTTCACAGATGCTGCCAATATTTATATTTTTAGCAGGCCCTTGATTATTAAAGGATGAACATTTTAGGGACCAGTATATTCTTCCCAAATAGTTATTTTGCACTTTACCAGGAATCACTTTTGAAGGTGATACAGTATTTGTTTTCAGTGCTGAGGAACAAACTCAGAGTCTTTACACTGCACCTCCTTTTTTGACAGTTGCCTTATGACACTAATTTGGTCAGGGTAGGTGCACACTTGCAATCCTCCTACATCACTTTCCCAGATTGCTGGGATTATAGGCCCATGCAACCATATATGGAACATTTTTCATTTGCTCTTTAAGATAAAAAAAACATAACTGAAATTAAAGAGAAAAGAATAAAATACCACATAAAATCTCAAGCATCTTAGAATCCATTGGGAGTATGAAATGTAATATAAAATAAAGAGAGACTAAGTATAACACAGAACAGATACCCCCTATTATATTATCCAAGATTAATTATGATTTGAGTCCTAGGATAGGAAAATCAGTGTCAGTTTTAGAGGTAGACAGCTTAAAGTTCTAAAATATTATTCCAATTTTATTGTTATCACAAGAATATTTGTACACTTTCGAGTAGTGTTAAATATCTTAGTGAACTTGAGGCAAGTAAAAATAAAATGAATCCTGATGTTTTCTATTAGGTGTTAGACCTTCATAGCTACACAAAAGACCTACCTGGTAAAAATGGAGAGATCATATTAACTCTAGGGGTAATTATTTCAATGCTTAATTTTACTAGTCAATTTATGTTCTTAAAATTTGACCTGACTTCTTAGTTATAAAGTTCATAATCTTTGATAGTCCCTATACCTTGTTTTTCCCTCTGTAATTTGTATTATATGTAGTACAGCATTGCAGCATGATGCACAGTACATCTTCTCAGCAGAGTTCTACCAACTAGGCACCTGGCCCTATGCTGAGAAGCCAGGTAATAACTGCCATGCAGTACTTTCCTCTGATGAGGTAACCACTTCACATTTATGGTAAGGTTGTGACTGAAAGAAGCAGACGTTGCTTGACTCAGATGCAAAGCGTGCTACCTCTGCACAATAAAACCTGGCAAGTCAGCAAACAACACACTGAAGATCGTCAGGCGATATGAAAAACAACCGAAAGTCTTCTGTATATCAACAAGATTCCTGTCAGACTTTTCAACCTGCATAAGCCTGTCAATTTAGCTAGTTGGCCCCCTTCCCTCAGAAAATTGGCTCATTCCATGGATGACTTTGTTAGACTGAACATAGTACTCTACCTCTGAAACTCCTGTGACAATCCATCAAAGCAGTGGTGCCACACGGCCACATGGCTGGTGCAACATGATGTGACAGAGAAGAGAGAAACAGAGAACTCCTGACAAGCCTATGGTACTTTACAGTTTTAAAAGATATTTAGAGAGATAAAACCCACCCTTTTAATACATAATTGAGTGGTTTTCAGTACACAAGTACTTTTGTACTCTCCAAAGAACATTCTGGAATAAGATCAGAACTTTAGCTGTAGCAAAACTTTTGTAAGCCTCAGAGGTTTGCTCACAGGGATAAGCTGCTGTTTATTGCTTCAAGAACTGAATATGAAACAATGTTTGGTACTTTGTTAAAATTCTGTGAGCCTGCAAAAACTCCAGAGAAAATAATTTGTCCTTGACGTGGATATTTCAATGGATTTTCAAATGTAACCACACTGATCTGAGGCAGTTTTCCATGAGCCTACTGAAGCCTTACTTATCTCAAAAAAATGCTGACCCATGCAAGTTGCCTCTTCTTTTTGTCTTAAAGCCTGGATCTTCCTCATCTCATGTGAACACTTGTCAGGTACAATGAACATGTGCATCATGGTTTGCAAATATCTTTTGCAGGCAAATATAATTGCCTTCACTTTCACTTTAAACTTGTTCATGATTTATGGCTCACAACATCCATGTTTTTAAGTCTCCTTTCCTTTAACAAGTTCCTTCTTCCGAAACATTTAATCTCGGGGACCGATAGTATCCCTTTACTATTTTCTATGTAAACAACTCAAATGAAGAAAGAATTTCAAATTCCCATCAAGAAAAGAACACCTAAAGATAAACTTCCCAAATAACTGCATATATAGAAAAATCCTCAGGAATTCAACTATAAATCATAACTTTCATAACTTACACAGGGAAAAATCTGACTACATCTTAGCTCACCAGGGTTTTACTTACAGAGTAAAATACTTAGATTATTAGTTTAAAAGTTTCATATTTTATGGGCCTGATTGTGATAGAATGTAGCTTTTTTTATAATGTAGTTTTTAAATTGCCATACACTTAGGAACAAAGAAAATAATATTTAAGAAAATTTTCCTATTCAAGAAGACAAGGCCTTAACACAGAACACAGTGGCTACTGATCTTACAGCCTTAATATCATTTACCAAGATGAGTGCCTTTGCCTTGGTTTAAAATTTGACAGCTCAGTGGGGAGTGTTGAATGGCATTTAATATTATATGTAGAATTATTGGCTATACACACACACACACACACACACACACACACACACACACACACCAAGTTCCCTCATGGTACCTCATTTGTGACTATTTGTAAGGAATTTCAAGGTTCTTTTTCACAAATGTATTGGCTCATCTTACATTCTTCCTTTAGTTCAAATATTCATACAACTTTCAATCCAAAAGAAAGGCCTAAATTTATTCTCCAGATCTTGTAAGAAACATTGCCTTCCAGATGCCCTCTCCTTTTTCCTCTTCCTTGATACACCCACACACACTAACAAGGACTTCACATAATGACCACGGCCAGGCTCATGCCTCTATTTGCTGGTATATTTTATGAAGAAATCCCATATCACGATTGTGCTATGATTTATTGTGATAAATTACCCATCAATGAGGTTATTTATGGGTTGTTCTTTCACTAACCCTCTTCCAAAGAGTTTCAGGTACTTTTTATTAATTTATTTTATTTTATTTTTGTCTTTTTGAAACAAGATTTCACTATGCAGTTCAGGCTGACCTTAAACTCACTGTGTAGCCCAGGCTGATCTTGAACTCACAGTGATCTTGCCTCCGCCTCCTGAGTGCTGGGATTACAGACATGCATCACTGTGACAGACAGGTGCTTTCATGAGACTAAAAAATAGCTAAAAACACGTAACAGGCAAGAGCTGAGCCTGTTTTTTGACTGGATTGCCTTCTGTACTATCGCAACCTTTGTTGCATTTTTGAAAAATGCATATCTATCTATCTATCTATTATCTATCTATCTATCTATCTATCTATCTATCTATCTATCTATAACAGTGCCTGGATCATGGCAAATATATGAACTATTGAACAATATATAAGTTTGGTAAAATACAAAATGTCCTAACAGATACATCAAACATACCAGATTACTTTCCCTTTCTGCCATATCAGAAGTCTTCTTCCTTTTCCCTGGAAGATGAAAGAAAAAAAAGCAATCAAAACGAGTAAAGAAAGTAAAGGCAAGCCACCTTCCTCCCCACACTCACCTACCATGCTGGACACCGGCAACAGTGTCACTAATTTTGACTAATGGACTTGCCTCGGCTGCTACGCCATGCACATCTCATCTGGTAAGGATTCATGCTGCCCACTTCCCTGCCTGAACTCACAACACAGAGCTCAGTGTCAGCTCCAAGAGGAAGGGCCAGATTCTAGTGCTTCACTTTGAAAAAGTTGAAAGTTTTCGCTCTGGGCACATTCCACATACTCAGTACCATAAATATGTCTATATACCTACATAGCTAGAACCTTCTGCTAGTGAATCTGTAGACAGGCTATGGAAAGAGCCACAGAGTCCCAGGCGAGAGCTGGGGTGAGGGAGGAAGCCAGAGGATCTAGCTCTGGATCTCTTCCCTCCTAAACACCAGAAGCTCTTCTGCTCAGGCAAAGCTTTCTCCTGTTCCAACTGAAAAAGACTTAGTCTGCCTAGCTCACCCCTTACAGGTACACAGTACCTGGTGTTGTGGGGAAAAAAGATGCAAAGACAGACGAGAGGATAAAGAAGGAAAGAGATAGAAAACTGAGTTGGACTTGATCAGAGACAGGACAGAATTCTTCATGCATTTCTTTCTGTGTTTAAGAGTTGGGTGGCGACAATGACAAAATGTTTACAAAAGTAGAAAGGGATTTTTTTTTCAAAATAGTGCACCTCTCGCATCATAGCCAAACATATTTTCCAAATGAAATTTTTTCTTTCAAGCTTTTATGTTAATTACATATTTGTAAGTTATGTTAATTACATATTTGTAAGTAATTACATATTTGTAAGTTATTACATATGTAAGTTACATATTTGCTGTGAACAGTGATTAGATTCCATGTAGGGAGGTGGGATATGTAATTAACACATCTTAATTTATTTTATAACCCTTTCTCTCTCCTCTCCCCTCTCTGCCTTTATCTGTAGCTTCATCCCATTTCCATCCCTGTTTGCACATATCTTTCATTTCAGATGTAATACTGTCGAGGGAGGATTCAGTTCAAGCATGTGTTTACAAAGGAAGTAGAAAGCATACACATGGTTTCTCTCTGGGGACACTAGTTCTTTATTTAGGTAGGAGTGGGTGTGATTAGAATGGTGTGGTACTTGTGAAAAACAGGGTGGAGTAGACTAATTTGGACAATGCTGATGTGAGAAATTATTTCAACCTCTCTTCCAACTCTGCTAAACTTTAGTAGAGCTCTTCCTCATACAAATTTATCAGTGATGCAAATAAAATGGGAAAGTTTGTCTGAGTGCCCCCCAGTCAAAGCCTCGAGGGGTGCAGTGTGCTGTGAGGAACATGTCTCCCGTGACTAGAGGGAGCCCAAATCAGTTCTTGTAGACCTTTCAGTGAAAATATGAGTAGGCGCCTCAAGAAATCATTATTCACTGTTTATCAGAGAAAGAGCGGGGAACAAGAGCCAAATTAAAATTTATCAGTCTCAGGAAACAGAACTCCAAATTCGTCATCTAGAGGGACAGAAGGAAAACAGAACCCACCTTGGTGCCTTTTCAGGCAGTAGAACAGGCAAAAACAGGCAATGACGAGCAGAGGAAATCCCCCCAAAGGAAGCAGATTGTACAGGAGCCGTAGCACATCCGCCATCTCTTCTTTGGAGGGTGGTTCTGAGACACTGGTTGTATCTAGAATTTAGTTAAAGCTAAAAACAGTCAGCGAGTCTGAGCTATGTTAGGATCCGCAACATCCTTCTGCACTGTCAGGACCTGAACAAAGGGAATTTCAGGCTGATGTTTCTGCTCCCTTTGGGCGCCTCAGATCCCTCAAACACCTTTTTATCTTTTGTAAAAATCTTTCATTTGTTAAGGTTAATCTGTAGAATAGCCTCTATAAAAACCCTCCAAAAGCATTCACCAAGCCCTTTTGCTTACAGTATCTAACTTAGTGCTCATATTCACCACCTGAAGAAATTAGAGGAGCCATTTGTTTTGTCCCTTACTGCGACTTAAGAAGAGGGTTACTATTCCAAGCATTTCCCAAAGTCAAACACCTGCAGGGTAGCAGTTGGGAGTCCTCATGTTTCCCACATTAAATTCACACTAAAGGCTCTTCTTTTGTTTTATAATTCATTGGTATCTTGACACTTTCCGTTTTCCCAGATATTTTTTCCCTGACATACAGTTAATGTCCATTAATATTGGTCAGTGTTAAGAGGCATTAAGATCCTATTTATTCACAGTTGATTGCAACTTATTATTACCATGTAAAATATTTCAGTAGAACAGAAGTAACTTCTTTTTTTAAATGTAAAAAAAAAAAATAGAAAATATCAGCATGCATCACATGTACTACAGCAATGGTTTTCAAATGGAACAGTTTTGCCCTCCCTGGTACCCACCACAGGGAACGTGTGAAAATGTCTGGAGACATTTCTGGTTGTCACAGGTGGGTAGGGCACATACAAAGTCAAGACACTCTATACCTTCTCCTCACCACAACAAAGAATTATCCAGCCCAAAAGTCAATAGAAAAACCCAGTCATAAGTATGGCTTTGTGGAACTTTTTTAAAATGTGCATGTATTATGGATTACAACATAAGCTCTATTTTTTTTATTTTGGGTTACTGTTGAACAGAAAGAAAAGTATGAAGTAAAGTACTCTATTACAATTCATGTGATTTGCTTCCGTGATTTTGGGGATAAAAATGATCACAGGGAACTGAAGCTGGTTACGTAGTGGAGACACGGGCTCTTCTGTTCATGCTGCAGTTTAGGTTGGGCAATGAGCCAAATCATTGCCCCAGCAGCAGACACAGCTGCCTGGGGGAGGGTTTTGGATAGCAAACAATAGATAAATCTACGGCAAAGAAATTCTACCAAATAAGAAAAACCAGTTTGTGTTATTTCTGTAACCATCAAACAACCTTGTTCATTTTATTTGGTTAGTTTGGTACTTACTTGTTAGAGCGTGTTCTGAATTATTTTGAGCCTGTTCTGCAACAGAAAAACAATATTAAGAATTGAAATCGTTTCAGAAAACAGGGAGGATATAAACTCAGGTATTTATAAAGTCAGATTTCCCCCTGGAGAAGACGGCAATATTTGCACACTAAGGGAATCCAGTAACCCAAACTAAGTGAGGTTCATGTACTTTAATTTCCTGTACCCATCACTTTGAAGTCTTGGAACCTAGAATAAATCCTTGAGTTAGTTTCAGGCTCAAAGAAAGACCGGATAAATACAGGATAACCTTCCTCTGTCTGCTTTGATTCATTTTGCTGCTGCCACCTCTGCCGATTGCAATAACAGACACATATTCTGCAGGTGCTCCAAAGGACTGCAGAAGGCCACAGGAAGGGGTGCTTTTGGAGGCATTCCAGGAGCTGATACTGCAACAGACTTTGTCTCTCACTCTACACTGGCAATGACCTTTGGGAAATTCCTAATCAGAGACTGACCAAGAGCAGGTTCAGAATACAGTGCAAGCCAATGATTGTTCTAGGCATAGTCTCCAGCTCTCTCAATTGTTCCCTTGAGTTTGCTTTGTTTTGCAAAGTACTTTTCTTCATTCCAGAAGATTACTGCTTTTCCAAGGGCATCCAAGCCTCTACCTTCTCATATACCTTCTCTTCTAAAAACCGATTCTTGGGGGCTGGGGATTTAGCTCAGTGGCATAAACACCCACCTTGCAAGCAGGCAGTCGTGAGTTTGATCCCCGGTACTGATAAAAAGGAAAAAGACAGAAAAAAAAAAAAAAAAACCCACGATTCTTATAAATAATAAAGAAGGGACAGATAGAAAAACAAAAGCATCCTAATGTGCTGTTAGATATTTCAAATAGAGAAAATAATATATATTGTCATATATCCAAATTTTATTTACAAAAATCATGGTCCTTAAACATAACTCCGGAGCATAACCAGTTCACTTTATGGCACAGGCAGGCCTCAAACTCTCAATGATCCTCCTGCCTCAGCTTCCCAAGTGCTGGGATTTACAAACTAGACTTTTCTGAAGTAACTATACCAATTTACATTTTCGCAGGCAATGTAAGAGTTTTAAGATTTTTTTAGACATTTGCTAACACTTTTTTTAATTTTCATTTTTTGTTTAAATTCTGGTCTTTCTACTGAGTATGCATTGTTATCTATCTCATTGTAGTATTGATTTGACTTGCACTAAGCATTTTTTAATTTGCTATTGGATATCTGTATATCTTTAATGAAATATCTAATCAAATCCTCTGTTTAGTTTTTAATCAGGTTGTCTATTTGTGCTGAGTTGTAGGAGTTTATTATATATTCTAGGTTACAGTGTAAATTGCGAACCTTTTCTCAAAGGTCTATCTCTCTATGGACTGCCTTTTTACTCTCTTGATAATGTCCTTTGATACAGAAGTTTTTAATTTTTATGAAGCCTAATTTATCTGTTTTTGTTGTGACCTAACATTTTATAACCGTATCTAGGAAATTATTACTACATTCAAGATCAAAAAAGGCACAGTTTTATATATAGGCTTATAGTTCTATATAGATACAGTTTTTAGTTCTTATATTTAAACCTCTGGTTTACTTATATTTCTTTTCTTTTGTTGTGAGCTACAGGCTCAAATTCATTCTTTTGTGTGTGAACATACAATGATTCCAACACTATTTGTTTTATTTTGTGGTTTTTTTTGTTTTGTTTTTCAGTACTGGGATCAAACACTGAGCCTTGCACATACTAGATGAGAGCTCCACTACTTTGCTATATTTCAGGTTGCTATTTATTGAAGAAATTTAAGAATTGTATGGACAGTTGTCATATGTCAATTGACCATGAATACATGAGTTTATTCTGGACTCTCAGTTGTATTATATTGATATCCACATCTCCACATATGTCAGTAACACACTGCTTTGATTACTATGATTTTATAGTATATTTTGCCAAAAGGAAGTATTACTCTTCCAATTTTCTTCTTCTTCTTCAGGACTGTCAGATATTTTGGGTCTCTAACATATGAGTTTTAGGATCAGTTTTTTCACTTCAGAAAAAAATCTGTTGGAATTTTGGTGGGAATCTGTAGATCATCGTGGGTAATATTGTCATTTTTACAATCTTAAATCTTCCAATAATGACATTTATTCCATTTACTTATATCTTCTTTAATTTCTTTCAGCCATACTTAGAGTAATTTATAGGTCTTACACCTCTTTGGTTAAATTTATGTCTACATATTTTATTTTTTTGATGGCATTATAAATAAGACTGTTTTCTTAATTTTCTTTTCAGATTGTTCATTGCTATGCCACTAATTTTTATGTGCTGATCCTGTGTCTTACAACTTTGCTGGATTCATGTACTAACTTAGTAGAGTTTTTTGGGGGTTTTTTTTGTTTTTTTTTTTTTGTTTTTTTTGCAAATTTTTAAGCATCCTATCTTCTGTGAATAGAGACAGTTACTTCTCCCACTTCCATTTAGATACTTTTTATTTTTCACTATTTAAAAGCAGGCAACTTTGTCCTGTTCTTTTACTTAGGATTAAAAACATTCAATCCTTTACCAGAGTAAGATTTTGGCTCTGACATTTTCATTACCAAGCTTTTTTTTCCCTCTGTCTTTTATTCCTCCCTCTTTACTTCTCTCCCATGTTTTGTTCATTTTAGTTTCCAAGTTTAACCTCTTACCTGTCTTTCCTAAGTTACTATAAAGCGTACTAACACGGTCCTGGGAACCCACTGAAGCCCTATCTGTTCCTAAGAACTAACTTTGTAGTCAGATTCTTTGCAGTTCTAAGCAAACTGTGAATTATTCACAACTATGCAAATTATTTGACTATCACAAACATAGCCTTTTTCAACAACAATCTACCATAGTCAAGAAAAAAATGAAAAGAAAAAAAAACAAAAAATAAATTGCTATCTATAATTATTGGCACTTATTTGTATGATTTTTCACTATTTCAGTGACATACTTGTGGACTTATCAAGTAGACTTAATAATCCTTAAAGACAGAGGCAGTAATTTTCACTGTATTTTTATCTTGTTTACCTCACTCAGATCAAACATATGTGCATTCATGCACATCATAATTTGTGAGAGTGTGGTACACCCTCAGGGCTAAGGATAGTCCATCTCTAACATAACGATCCAAGAATCTGGATCTTCCATTTCTTGAAAATATGAGAAAAACATTAGATGGCCTGAGATTCAAGAACTTACCTGTCACGTGGATGGTTATTGAGTGGGAATGAATTACATGAGACGAGGCATTCACAGAACAGCGGTATGAGCCATTGTCACTTGGAAGCACTAGTTCAAAATGTAACATAAAAATCGACTTATTGAATCTTTCTTCCCAACTTGTGCGTATCCGAAATCTGTCCTCGGGAAGGAAACAGTCTGCTCCGTTCAACTTGCACCACGTCACATTAGGTCTGTGACCACAGTATCTCACAGGACATTCCATTTTAAAAAAAGTTCTTGCCGCAACAGTGTGCTCTGAATTTCTCCTAATACGAAGTTCTACAGCACATGACTCCTCTCCTAAAGAAGGATAAAAAAATTAAAATAAAATCTGTTCTTCTGAAAGGACTCCATACATGCCCCTCCAAAATAGTTTGCCAAATATTTCTCAGGTATGATTTCAGAATTTTCCTAGATACCATTTTAGTCATTAAACTTCACTAGGCCAAGGCCTGGCTCATAATAGCCACAGAAAACATTTTTATTTCCTATTTTGAATATTTGCCTTTAAAAATCAAATCAATTCATCTTCTCAAGAAAAATAATATAATTAGTAAGATTGCTCTGTAGATACTGAGATAGTAAGGAACTTGCCCACAGTAATATGCTAATAATTAAGAGAATTAAGATTTAAAGTCATACTCTTCTTATTACTCTATTTTTCAATAATCATTTGTTCATATTATTACTTTCACTTTTTTCCATATTGGGAATTGAGCCCAAGGCTTTCACGTTAAGCGTCATTCCCAAACCTTTCAATTAATTTAATTATTTTAATTTTGAGACAGTTTCTTCATAAGCTGCTCAGGCAGAAGCTGAACTCATGATCCTCCTGTCTCAGCTTTTTAGAGTTCTGGGATTACAGGCGTGCACCACCATGCCAAGTAATTCATTTCATTCCTTAAGCAGTAATCATATTTTCTATGGCTAGTTGTGATATATCACATTATACAAAAAGGAGAATTTTTCAGGCAATCACTTCCCATAATTCTTGGTATTAGAAATTTTTTCACTTGCTTTTCAAAGCCATCTTAATCGTTTTTCTATGATATTTTGTGATAGGAGTCATGCAATTCAAGATAATCATCCAAAGATAAAATATTCTTAAGTAATTTGAATTTTCATGTTTCTCCATGGAATTTCTCCAAATTCCACCTCTTTTGGAATTTCTGTATATTGGCTTGGCATACTGAAATCATGACTCCCTTTGTTTTGGGGAGACAGTTTTTTCCTGCAAACAGGTCTTCCATCTATGAACTTCCAGTTGGTAATTGCCAAGTATATATGAAGTCTGTAGCACAGAAAAATTTAATTTTCATATTACTGAATAAATTATGCTATCATTAACTTATTATCATGGAAGTACTTACCCTGTGTCCCCAACTTCTAAAATATACCTGAGAGCCAAGACACATAGAAAACTTCTCTAAGTATACAAAACTGATATTGAAAGATCCCATTTATCTTCCTTTTATGCATAATTCAATTCCATTATCATTTTCCAATTAGCCCAGAGTGCATAATTATGCTGTATGCACAGACTAATAATTATCTTTATAATGGCAAGACTAACCCGATATGTAATAATATTTGAATTTGTTTCATCGCTTCCATTTCTGAGGCAAAGAAGTGTTCAATCAGAGTGATTACTTCGGAAAATGTTTTGACTTCCAAAGGGCAAATTTCAGTTACTTAGAATGCATAGCTATGCAGCAGTATTCATTCTCTGATAATTGCTGAGCAATTTTGCTCCTTTAGAGACCCATGAATAAATGGAAAATGAGAAATGATGTGTGTTTTCAACAACTAAAGAAGCTTTTCTATCAGTTGCATAATACAATGTATGAATGGCATGTGCATAAGTCACTGAGGATTCTCTCATGGCTCTTAACACCCTGAGCTCGCCAGAGAAATTAACTATAACAGGGAGCTTTCTTTTACATGAGCATGTTGTGGCAGTTTACCTTTTCATTTTTTCAGTAAAATTAAGGCTGAACATGTGGTCTAAAGGAGTAATTTGGGTTCTTGTTCCTCCACCTCATAGTTCTTTCCTAGCCACCCTATCCTTTAAACTACTCTTTCAGGCATATAACTATTCCATCTTTTTCAATAAATCCTTCATCTTCAAGCATTCATTGGAATGGATTCACAACATCATAAGTATAGTAACATAAGTGTAACTAAGATTATAGTCAAAACTCTCTGTAAAGATGGGGAGGGCCAAGGGTGCATTCACACAGGTAGTTAGCCGCTGAACTGCGGGACAGGTTTTGGCCCTGGGTTCCACATACCTCTCTACCTAGAACACTGTCTTGCTCTGTTTTTATGCCCTTCGCAGTATGAACATCCTCACTGTTAGGAATCTCCTAATACATAATAAATATTTCACTACTCATACTTTATCAACTACTATTCAGAGTAACTGAACTATAATTGAGTTTCTAAGAATTAGATAGAGACCGAGGGACCTGCAGAGAACTTTGCAAGCCTCGGATTATTTACTTACTTACTTATAACTATGTTGAGATCTCACACAAGTTTACTTTAAGATTTCTCAAAAATTCAAAATAAAAATGAAAGCAAAGCAAAAGCTAAATCATAATGATGAGGTTTTCAAAAAGTTGAACAGAAAGAGTAAGACAGTTCACCACAAGGAAGTACCTAGCAATAAACACCTACATGTGGTTAGACTTATGATAACCAGAGGCAAGGAGGCTGGAGCAGAAAGACCAAGTGAAACCCTGTTTTCAAACATTCGTTTCCCTGCTCCTCTCAGCCTCCCCTCGGGCTTCCCTTTTCAATTTTATGGATAAGTCACCACTCATCAGTGGAACTTACAACTACGCTAGAATTGTGAAAAATAAGACAGTTATAGGCAAAGGTATTAGGTCCTCAGGAAGCTTCCTTTTAACTGAGGAGACAATATTACCTAACAAGGAGGTCACTTTTCTGGAATAAACTTACTATCTACCATTCTTTTCTTCAAGTTTACATAAGCCGAAAGCAAGTTTAGAGGAGACTCGCATCTGATAGGTGATGTAGGAAGAGGCAAGACGTGACACCTGTTTTGTGGGATTTGTCTTCTAATGGGAAATAATGTTGCACGATAAATGGGAACACAATGCTATAAAGCTGCACATACCACCTGCAGGGATATTGACCTCAGCTAGGGGTTTGGGGGCAAGGCCTCCTAAGAAGTTTATATTTGAGTTGAACCGCCATGAGTGAATAGTCTTTTTATAATGAGAGCAGAGATGGGAGAGAGTTTGCTTGTTTTTAGTTTTTGTCTTTGTTTCTTGTTTTATTAGAGACAGGGTCTCACTATGTAGTTCAGGCCTACCTTGAACTCTCTATGAGAGCAGATGGGCCTGGAACTCACAGCAATCCTCCTGCCTCAACCTCCAAGTGCTGGGATTGCAAGTGGCTGTCACCATGCCCAACAAGGGACATATTTTAGGAATGAAAAAAATGGAGAGCAAAGGCTTTCAGTCCAGAAACCTCATGGCCAATTCAAGGAACTGATACACAGCTAACACGGTTTTCTGTAGGCGACACGGAACCACTGGCTGTTTCAGAATAAATGTAATAAATACTAGATGGGAGAAACTTAAGAGTTTTCCTTTCCACTGTGAGAAAATGTAATGCAGAATGCTGGGGACATTTATAAAGTCATGGAAGTAGTTACAAATGAGAATACTTATTTGATGGCTGTTTCAGATGCTAATCCATTGCCTGCATCTGGGTTAGTCACCTAATCTCAACAACACTGAATTTCTTCAACTTAAGGTTTGAAACATAAAAATAGTGAAGTTCTTTCCCACCACTCTCCTTTAACATATAAACACAGACTTCACTTTCCTCAGAATGTAACTGACAGTGTAAAGCCATTTGTAGTCTGAAATTTCTATCCTGATTACAACCTGTTTCTCTACTATTTAGTCAAAGAGCTGTCATCTGATACCAGTAGCACAATTAAACATGCCTTCTCTTCTGTAACTACACACTTGGGAGGAGTTCACAAAGCTGATTAGCAGCAGAGAGGGGCGGGCTGCTGGTCATAGCTGCATTCTTGACTTGAGATGGGATTATGAAGACATCCTTGTGGGTCTTGACTATTCTTATCAGCAAGATGAAGATCATTGACTCATCAGCTGTCACAGGAATTTTCCTTATTTGAAAGAGTGCACAGACGAATGCTTGCAGGCATTTAAATCATCAGGAGTATTCTTTCTGAGCACAAACAAGATGTCTGTCGGAGATTATAACTGATGTTTGCAAGAGTGAATCAAATGGCACCATTACAAGGTTCCATCTGACAAGCACACTGACAGCTTTTTCTGCCTGTCCTGACTTATGCAAATCCAGTCTATGATACTCAAGACACAAGAGAATTGTCATATCAAATATTTTGTGAAAAGGGATGAAAATCATAGTTGTTTTGGGTTGTGGCTTATTTACCAGCTATCAGTTACTATTGTTCCTGGCGTTTTCTTCAAAAGTTTATATCTGATAGTAGAGAATTTTCAATGCCAAAAGTAATTAATGAAGAGGTTGGAAACTTCAGCCACTTGTTGCTCTGATATGATGAAATATCTATTTTCATGTGACTACAGATTAAAAAGCCTTATTTTTTAAATTCTTCAGAAAACTGCTTGTACACTATTATGGTGTGTATATGCCATGACCTGGTGGTACCTAGTGTGTGTGAGACTCAGACTACAGCATTTTGAACAACCCCTACCTCTATATTGAAAATAAACAATCATAAAATGGAAAAAATAATAAAGTGGCTAAAATGAATATTTTTTGCATTGAACTTTATATATACAAATATGCAAGTTAACAAACCTTTGAAAAATATTAGAATACAAAAAAGGAAACGTATGACTAGTAATTTGAATGGTATTAATGTTAAATTTAGTATAGCATGATAGAATAATTTATAAAAATAACTGTCCACTAGCTCATAAGTGAATTTTATCAAACTAACAAGTGAACCTTTATTAATTTAAATTCTACAAATTACAATTTAGATAACTATTAAATTATAACACATGTAGTTTTTAAATTCACTCTACCATTTTAAAACAATTAGCTCCTCAACTATTTTGAAGATAATACAATAAGCAATGTATTAACCATTGTTACTCTCCTATCATCTTGTTTTGAAATTATTTACCATTGTTTTTATTGCTTTTTCTTTTTAAAGTAGAAAATGAAAGTTCTTTAGAAAGAATCTCAATAAGTACATTAGTCAATGAAGTTTTCTTCTGTGAACTAAAGTAACCAAGAAAAAATAT